CTCGGTCGGCGCAGTCAGGCTCGCCGCGCCGCTCCGTCACCCCTCGCTCGCCTACACGGTCTCGTTCAATTACTCGATCGCGCTCGCCGACATCACCGTCTCCACGGCGCAATGGGCGACGGAGCTACACACCAGAAAGCAGATCGCGCTCGAGAGGCAGAAGTTATTCCCGGAGTTTGACTCCAAGAGATCGGTCGCCAGCACCTAGAAGCGCAAAGGTAAGCATACTCCCTGTGCTAGACGCAACTTTCAGAGCTGCCTTGCCTCAGCCTTCCTGCACCAGCACGCTGACCCACCAACAGATCGTAGTTGAAGCCTTGACCAGGAACGTCAAAGAAGACCACGTGCGGGAGATATTCGGAAAGTACGGTGTCATCAAGGAACTCACCATGCCCATGAACCCCACCTGTATGTTTCGCCCTACCTCCCCACAGAGCAGGACTGACTATTGAACAGTCAACATCAATCGCGGCATAGCCTACATTCTCTACGAGGAGATCGACGACGCCGAACGCGCAATCGCGAAGATGCACGACGCACAATTAGATGGAGCCAAGATCCAAGTTTCCATTGTCCTTCCCCGCCGTCGTTTCTCACAGACACCTCCGCCCGCGCGTAGAGGCCCGCCGCCACGCGACGACTACGAAGGTGGCTATGGGCGCGGTGGACGGGGACCGAGGGGCGGAGGCCCACCTGGCGCGTACAGGCCACCACCTATGGATGGCCGTTATCGATCTCCACCGCGTCGAATGTCGCCCGATCGAGGTCACTGGGGTCGGGGCAGAGGCGGAGGCGGTCGTGGTGGACGAGGGGCCTACGGAGGACGGCCACGGTCGTACACACGTTCTCGCAGCCGGTCACCACGACGAAGCCTATCGCGCTCTTCTTACAGTCGCTCGCCATCCAGAACACCACCAAGACGAAGTGGGGGAGGAGGCTATGGCAGGCGGGACAGTCCACCAAGGAGGGGAGGTCGCGCGGGTGCAGGCGGCGGAAGGAGGAGTCCAAGCTATAGCTCCTATGGCAGCGACCGGAGTCGAAGCAGAGACCGCAGATGAGAGACGCAAGATTGTCTTCATTGTCGGCTGGAAAAGCCTAGAGGCATCCGCACAGTCAAGTAGGAGCTCGGTTGGACTATTCGGTTGGCCAGACCAATGGTATACATTAATTGAAATCGGTCGCAGGCTCAGTTGGGCGAAGTCCATCTTGCCTTGAAAGAAGTTTCCTACATGCCCACGCGTCTTCGCAATCAATCAGGTCATCTTCAACTGAAATCCTGCTCCCTTCTCTTCTTCCTCTCTGCCCTTGAAAATACTACTAAAATCCACGTTGCCCTGCATTCCGGGCGCCTCTCCTCTCTTTGGCGCATTCGGACTCTTCTTCCTTCTCCTCTCCTGCCCGGCCTTGCTTGGAAACGTGGGAAACATCTCGGTCGGTTTCGGCTTGGGTTGCTCTCTGAAGTAAGGATGCTCCAGTACTTCTTTCGCTGTAGGCCTATGGTCTGGATTCAGGGATAGCAACGAAGAGAGGAGTTCAATGCCAGACGCTGTCAAGAAGGGAAATTTTGCACGGTTGAAGCCTGGGGCGCTGCGGTGGTCGCGTGGTAGCTTTAGTGATTTGGAGTTGGGCAGGCGGTAGAATTGTGGCCAAGACTTCTCTGATGGGAGACCACAAAGGGAGAAGATGAGTGAGAGCTCGTCGACCTCGTTCTTGCCTTGTAGTAACGGCTCTTTTGCAAGCAGTTCGCCGAATATACAGCCTACGCTCCACATGTCGACTTCCGTCCCGTAATCTCGAGTCCCTAGTAGAAGTTCAGGCGCACGATACCATAGCGTGACGACCAGTTGTGTGAGGGGTGCGTTCGCCGGCGGGATGTATCGTGCCATACCAAAGTCTGCAAGCTTCAGCTGGCCACGGTTGTTGAGTAGGATGTTTGATGTCTTGAGATCGCGGTGCATGATGAAGTTCTCATGCAGATAGCCGACGCCAGAGACCAACTGTCGTAACAATGTCTTGACTTCACTTGCCATGAATGGCTCACTCATGTCTTCTTGTAATGTCTTGAGGTCATGTTCGAGGAAGTCCATGACCAGGATACATTCTTGCGGGTCGTCACCAGATAGAACCTCCAGAAGATCGACGACATGGGCATGTCTGCAGCGTTGCAGGATGGAGATTTCTCGTAGCGCGGTGATAGGGAAACCGTCTTGGTTGTAGTCCATTTTGACTTTCTTATGGGCGACCACGGAGCCTGTAGTGATGTCGCGCGCTCGTGAGACCCAGCCGTATGAGCCTTCTTCGATCTGATTGAGGGTCTCGAAGTTGGAAATATGTCGACAAGGGTTCCAAGCTCCGCCTTGAAATCGCAGGAGCTTCCTCTCGGTCTCTTCTTCTTTGGGCTTTGCGGCTCCCTCGTCATCGTCGCCTGTTGATAATCTCCTGCGCTTTGCAGGTCTCGATTCCGCCTCTTGCGTTGTTCGTGAGGCTGCTTCCGCCTCTTGATGTTTCTGAAGCTTCAGGCGTTTCTTCTCTTCTTTCTCTTTCTTCCGACGCGCTTCCTCGGCTTTGTCTGCTTCATCATTTGCCCATCGTGATGCCATAGCTCTTTCTCTTTCCTTTCTGACCAAGAGACCGACTTCCACTATTATCTATGTGCAAAGGCGTGTATTGAGGTTAAGTTGGTTTGGTTTTCCCAGAAGGACCCGGTTGGTGTGTTTCCGTGTAGATGGCGCTGGTTGGACCGATAGCACGTGTGAATCGTTAAATGGTGGTCATAGCTTCGTTCACGTTGGCGTTCCGATCTAAACTTTCTGTAGTTCCGAACGCGCCAACGTCATGGAGCTTCGATAAACAAGACCGACATGAGGACCAAACCTCTGAACCTACTGCGGACAGCGACACAGTGTTGTCGATCGGTACCACGACAAACGTCGATCCGAATAACGAAATGTGCCTCCCGGTGGTCGTCGACTTCTGCCTCTACATCTTCCGACTCGGAACGACAATGGTCGACGCCGCTGGCGAAGACGCTGGCTGAAGCTATTACAGTATGAGTCCCCTTCCCAGTATGAAAGCAAGTCTAACATTAGCTTCAGACGACAGGTCCAATCTCGGTAGCGGCGTATATGCGACAATGCCTCACTCACCCCGATGGCGGTTACTACACAAGACAAACATCGACTGGACAGGATCAATTTGGCACAAAGGGTGACTTTGTGACATCGCCAGAGATCAGCCAGGTATTTGGCGAGCTTATTGGTATATGGCTATACGCAGAGTGGCTTGCCCAAGGAAGGAAAGACAAGGTGCAGATAATCGAGGTTGGGCCCGGACGAGGAACGCTAATGGACGATGTACTGAGGGTATGGTTCTCTGCCAATAGTAGAGAATGCGAAGCATGCTTACAGGATGGCAGACCATATCTAGTTTCAAGGCTTTCACAAATAGCATCGAGGCTATTTATCTCATCGAAGCATCACCTTACCTACAGAAACAGCAAGCAAAGTTGCTGTCTGACACCGATGATCTGAAGAAGAGCGACATTGGTCTAACCGCACAATGCAAGTACATGCCTTCCTGCAGGATCGAGTGGTGTGAAGACATCAGGCTGGTGCCAAAAGGTACGCGCTCGACTTTACTCTCTTCATCAACAGCGTACTGACAACATACACAGAGCATACGGCAGCGCCTTTCATACTAGCCCACGAGTTCTTTGATGCACTTCCAATCCACGTCTTCCAGAATATCTCTCAATCTTCGGTGCCTGCCTCATCGACCATCATCACGCCAACCGGCCCTATCAAACCCAAGCACGGCGTGACAACCCCCAAGAATACCTGGCATGAGCTGGTTGTGTCGCCAACTTCGCCGTACTCGGATATGGGCGCAAGTGGCCCTTCGCCAAAGAAAGGGGATGAAAAATTGGACTTCGAATTGACCGTTTCGAAGACACCGACGCCACACTCCTTATACCTGCCGAAGTTGTCTGATCGCTACAAGAAGCTAGAGAATACTCCAGATGCGATCATCGAGATCTCGCCTGAATCTTTTGCCTACGTATCTGACTTCGCTGTACGGATAGGCGGCAGCGCTCCTAAGCCTAGCAACACCTCAGCATCCCATACTTTCTCGAGCAGAAGTGCTCCTGTTGAGGAAAGCTTCGTAAAAGCGCAGCCGTCTGGTGCAGCTTTGATCTTGGATTATGGACCTTTGGATACTATCCCAGCGAACACTCTCCGGGGCATTCGCTCACATACCACTGTCTCGCCTTTTGCATCGCCCGGTCTGGTAGATCTCTCGGCTGATGTGGACTTTCTCGCCCTTGCAGATGCAGCTTTAGATGCTTCTCCGGGTGTTGAGGTTCACGGACCCGTTGAACAGTCTTTCTTTTTATCGACAATGGGCATTAAGGAGCGCGCTGATCGCTTACTTAAGGCTGCTAAGGATGAAGATACGCGAAGACGCTTGGAAACAGGCTGGAAGCGACTTGTCGATAGAGGGCCAAACGGCATGGGTAAAACGTACAAAGCTATGGCTATCGTGCCCTATAAGAAGCAAAGCCCAGTCCGACGGCCGATCGGGTTTGGCGGAGACATCGTTGGCTGAACAATATGATAGCTACCAAATCAACAGTTTTAGCCTTGGACATTAGGTGATAGGCGTCTGATGACTAAATACGATATGTATTCCCATACTGCGTGCCGCAGTTGATTGCATCCGATTGATCGATCGAATTTCTTCAATGTTAGTTCCACTCGACTGGCTCTCACGATGGAATGATACTTCGCATAGCCATCCTACCATGATTGATGCGCGATACTTCCATCACCGGTACCCTACGTAAGAGAAAGACCATCCTATGGGTACACTCATCTTGCAAGGAAGTCTTGGTGTCTTTGAAGGACAGCATCGAGGAGAGGATTCCTTCTGATCGTAGAAGGAAAGAACAACGTCACGGATGAATGGACGAGTGCTCTGCACGTCAATGATGTTAAGACAATTTACTCCTGAAAACTCCAAAAGAATAGAGTTTAAATCGTATAAGGGGGCATAAAAAGGGAAGAATCTACATACAAAACATACTAATAAAAATCGTTAGAACACACACTGGCATCGCTAGCCCTCCGACGTCTTCCCTTGCCCAATATCATACCCACATTCAGTGCACATCCCTGAGGCACCTCGTCGTCTTCAGGCTCACCCCGCTCCCAGTCCTCAATCTCATCTTCAGCAAGTTCTTCATCGATCACGTCGAAACGCGCAGAATTGAATCCTGCGTCCCCGAAAGCAGAATACATAGACTGGCGCTGCGGCTTCGGGAAGACAGAAGCGTTGTCATCCTCATATTCAGCGAACGGTTCGGGGTCAGGATGGCTAGATAGAAGCTGTCTGTACTTCTCCATGCGCTCTTCTTGCGTCTCAATGTGGTCATAGATCGGGTTGTCGAGAGGATCTATGTATCCCGTGCGAGAGGATGGGCCGCCGGTGTAAGACGCGATCGTGTGCGCTGTGGTTGCGAGTGATCGGCGGGAGATCATTGAAGCGGGAGGATTGAGGAAAGAGTTCTCCTGCCTGGTAGAACCCGCGACTGACGGTTGTGGCACAGGCCTGCGTCTGATCTGTAATGGAGCTGGACGGTCGTCCGAATTGTGGTGCCGAGGAAGGCGAACGGTAGGGAGGCTCATGGTATCATCAGGCGTGATAGTCCTTTCTGGATTATGCGAAGCCATTGACTCGTTATAATGCCTTGACGCGTTTGTCGATGAGCGAGAAGGTATGAGTCCAGGCTGGTTTCGCAAAGCCGGATGGACATCTTCTTGGTTGTGAGGAATAGTGTATACCCGCTTACGCATACCGGGCATCTCAAAACCAAGATCCTCGGCCTGTGACTTGAGCTTAGTGTCTGGAGGCCGGGGATTAGGACCCAGTTTGGGGTCGAACAGGCTCGGAGCTGTTAGTTCTTGTTCTCGCCGCCGTCTTACAGTTCTGGTCGAGGCAGAACGGCTAAAAGTGCGCTGATGAGCAGGGACGGTAGATGAACCTAAACTTTGACAGGGCATCGGACCGACGGAAGTTTTCTGCGTTCTCGTGCGGCTATGTGCACGAAGGTGGCGGTGTTGCTCATGCTTCCACTGAGCCCGAAGATGTTTGAGATCCATGCCCAGATCGCATGCTCTTAACATATTGCTTTCTCCACTCGCCTTCCTGACCCAGTAACGCACGAATCGAAGACGTTTGCTCTTAGTGCTGTCCCAGCCAGCAACGCTACGGATCGCATCCATTGTCGTGAACGCCTTGCTGTTGAAGCGACCGACCATACCGGCGAACAGAGCAAAAAGAACATCCGAATCTGATCCCATCCGCGCCATCATACAAGCCGGGCATTGGTCTGCCTGATAGTGCCACTTCGATCCGCACTGAATCGGCTCATGACCAGGGGGAGCGGAAGCACCCGAACTAAAGTTGGGTTGCCACATCCGTAGCACAGGTTCTAGTTGACGGACTTTCAACTTCTGATCCGTCGTTAGAAGGCCGTGGGTCATTACAAGTGGATAGAGAAACTTGCCGATGGCGCCATCGTATTCGTGACGGATCCATTTGAAGATGTCATTGACAAGATTTTGGTTTAGGCCCTTGTGTGTCGTGCACAGGTTCGTTGAGCCGAAAGAGAGCCGCGAAGCGCGTAGCCGGCTAGGAAGCCGTTGTATAGCTTCCTTGGTATGTTTACGATACAGCGCTTCCTTGCGCTCATCGCGCAAATCATTGGGAGTAGGGACATGCCGAAAAATACGGACAAGTCTCTTCATGTCGCTGTTGTGGAGCCGGCGAGTCTCCATCCTGTGTAGGAATGAAGGCATCGTGAAATGTTGTGAGATGTCTTTGTGGTTGTAATGCATTGTGGGTGCCTTGTGATAATGGTTGTGTTTGGTCTGTTGTAAACATGGAGGAATGTGGAGAGGTTAAGAACACGCACGGGACGTTTGCAATGAGACAGAGTGGTTTCATGATGCAGCGTATATTGCGAGTGATAGGGCGCGGCTGTGTAGTATGTGAAAGTTATCAGTGTGTATATATCATAGGACAAGCGAAAGAGGAAGAAACAACTCGAACTCAATAAAGTATCAGTAGAGATACCTGCTCATATGATCTGTTGGAGTGAAAGACAGTATCGGTGAGACACTATCAGTAAAGCAGCTAAGGCTGATTGGCACCAACGATCGAAACAGCGCAACGTGAAAAGCCGTCGCTAACGAGCGAAGGTTGTAGTATTTTGAATGGGAACTCAAATTCGATGTAATCCAACCGTCCAGCAAACGCCGTCCCAGAATCGTACAGTCCGTGAATGAATGACGACAAGATACAGGCCGTATTTCAGAAATAGCAGGAGAATATGCACCAGTGATGCAATGCAGCGGATGTGATAGAACCATCCGGAAGTTATACACCCGAGACTATACATTACCTGCTGCAACAGCATGATGTTTGTTTACACATAAAAAAAAAGTACAGATTAATGTGAGCTTTCCAACCCCAGAACATTGGCTCTCCTGCCGTGCAGGTTTTGATTGACCTTGTTCGTCAAATCTTTGAAATTTGTGCCAGCCGTTGATGAGATGCTGCTAGCCTTCTTGCGCGAGATGCGAGGTGTCGATGCGCCTTGTGGCACTACACCCTCGTCCTGTGTCAGGCCCGAGGCTGCCGCGGTCGACATGGGTACTGCAGTAGCTTCGTTCTCTTTTTCTTGGTCGACCTTCTGCTGTGCTGTAAGACGAGCACGCTCATATTTGGCAGTCACATCGCCTTTGTACATTGTCCCGCCAAGTCGGTCGAGGTATACGAAGAAAGGTTGCGAAAAGTTGGTCTTGATACCCCAGCTCTGGTGATGAATGTCGTGGTAAGCGGCATTGTTGGGGAAGATCCAGTGGATAGGGTCGTAGGGGAATGCGTAACCGCCGTGATCAAGCACTGTCTTGATGGTAGAGCCAGTGAAGAACCACATCGACTGTCGCATTGTCATGCCGGTAAGCAGATAGCTCAAGCCAGCACCCAGGGTATCGAGCGCGAACCCTTCGATCGGGTGGTTGTACAGAGCGCCGTAGGCATATGGCACATAGAGACGGTGATGCCGCGAATGGAACGTTACTGCGTGGGTTAACAAAAGTCGAAGAGCATGACACGGGTTGGAACTTACCATATAACCATCTGTTCAGGTGCATGGCACGGTGCAGCATGTACTCCCACGCGTCCATGATGACTATGGCAGCACTGAACTGGATGGCAGGTATGGCATACCAGTACGCAAAGCTAGCCACGGCCATCTCCCAAGAAGCAAAGGCGGGGACGAGAGTCTGCTCGCCCGCAACTGTCGCTGTCTGCAGCAGCGCGGGGTATTTGCCTCCGATGACAACGGAAGAAAGTATCGGCTGTGAGGTAGCGACCTTGGAAGCCAGCGCGATCGGGTTGACACCTACCGCAGACAAGACGTAAGGAACCGCGCGCTGGGCAAGTCTGAGCTTCTGCGCGTACCAAGCCACATCGTACTCGGCTTTGCCGGTTGTCGGCGCCTCGTCGATTAAAGAAAGGCTGAAGGATGCGAGAATCTGAATGACTTGCTGGAGTATGACGTCGCGCAGCACTTCGTAGCGTGAAACATGGTTGCGCTTCAGAACCTCTGCTGGCGTGTGCAGCCGATACTGCGGGAAGAAGTCGTACACGTCAATGACGTGGAAAACCAGGGAGACAACCCAGTATCCGACGACAGGCAGTGCGGCTTGTATGAATGCATCGGAGACCCACGACGTGAGAGGCTGAAGGGGCTCGAGGGTGTATTCGGGAAGCGGCGGGAGGTCGTAGGACGTGATGTTTGCGCTCGCCATGATGCGGCAGCGGTGCGCTAGGAGAGCGGATTATCGATTACAACTGTATGTATGCGAGACTGAGGAGTTGCGCAGCGCAGCCGGCGAAGACGTCGAAGGTGCAGCGTGCTCGAGGCGAGATCGCGGTGCTGGGCCAGCTATGGGGTGACAAAGACGGAGCCGGAAGCCGCGGACCAAGGAAATTAGGGAGAAGGCGCGATGCGACGGACGAGTGATGTCGGTATTCGGGCTGGAGGGCGGATGGCGCGCAATTGACCAGTCGAGCTCAGAAAGGAGAGGCTGAGGTGGGCGGAGCGAGGGTTGGGTGAAAGTCGTGTGAGAGTGGTGCAGCAGCGTGCCTGTGACAGCACCAAGGCATGACGGGGGTTTACGATATACGCGCGCATCATGACATTTCGCCGCCGGGCGCCCGGGCGGGCCTAGTCGCTCAGCCACTTCCACTTCCACCCCTTGCGGTTAGCGCGCTTTTCACACCCAATTTTCGACCCCACCAATTTCTCCTTCACGCCTACAGGCCAGCGCTTCTTTTCCGCTCCAGTCTTCAACCCCTCGCCTGCCCGCCCCGACCAACCTACACTCTTTCTACATATCCCCAGACCCTACTTCCCTCTACCGCCAACATGATCATTTTCAAGGTACGTTGTGCCTGCGCTGGGTCGCTCTTACCTGCGCCCTACCCCGCCTTCCCTGCTGCACTTGATGCTGCTTTGCGCATGCAAAGAGCCTCTTGTCTTCTCCACTAGTCGCGTGGTACTGACTTCTTCCAGGACATCATCACCGGTGACGAGATCATCTCCGACTCCTACAACCTCAAGGAGATCGACGGCGTCGCCTACGAGGCCGACTGCACCAAGATCACTGTCGGAGGAGAATCATTCGGTGGGTACTGCCAAACGAGATGAGGATCTGGCAGGCTAACGACGTGTAGACACCGGTGCCAATGCTTCCGCCGAGGAGCAAGAGGAGGGAGCCGACGACCAGAAGGAGACCAAGATCGACGTCGTCTACTCTTTCCGCCTGAACGAGACCGGCTTCGACAAGAAGGGCTACCTCACATACCTCAAGGGTAAGAACGCTAGGGCAAAATCCTCCAGACCCAGGACTAACGATAGACAGGTTACATGAAGTCAGTCAAGGAGGCCCTCAAGAACAAGGGCGCCGACGAGGCTACAATCAAGGACTTTGAGAGCAAGGCCTCCGGTTTCGCCAAGAAGATCATCGGCAACTTCAAGGACTACGAGTTCTACACTGGCGAGTCCATGAACCCCGACGGTATGATCGTCCTCCTCAACTACCGCGAGGACGGTGTCACACCCTACGTTACCGTCTGGAAGCACGGTCTCGAGGAGATGAAGGTCTAAGTCCAAGAGGACTTGGCTATGGGAAAGACGAGGCTTGGTTCACGGTTCATTGAATTCACGATTACCTATTGCATGTTTGGGAAATATCCGCCATAGTGCGAAAAGCGGAATGGCACAAATCTAGACGATCTTAAGGAGCCGTACACGATACAGCATATTATTCTCTACCCATGCTACAACCTGCCCTCTAACACCTGTGATGGGGCTTGGTGGAGGCGACTATAAATGGTGAAATGTCGAGTATCAAGCAAGTCTCGCGGCGATGTCAGAATCAGTATCGGACCATATCCAGGGCTGGCA